TCCTCGAAAAAATTCATTATTAACTTCTCCTGCTTTTACAATTACAATGAAAGGTCCAATCAAGCACGGTAGCATTTTTAGTTTTTGGTCTGTTCCGAGGCCTAGCAATGCCCCTAAGAATAGCAAAACAGCTTTTTGATTACTGGTACATTATCAATAGTAACAAAAATAGCACATATTTGCCAGATACACTAAGATGTTTATGTGAATTTATAATTTAAATTTCTCAACAACTATATCAAATAAGTATCCTCATCTCAGTTTTAAAGCAGAAATAACAAAGGTTTAGAAACGTTAAGTCATGAAACTGGGAGCTTATTTAACTGTGTACAAAACCAGTTGCCATTTTCCAACATTTGTCTTGGAGCATACTAAATTTTGTTTTCTGTGAATGGTTTGTCCCCAATATATATTTTTTTAAAATAAACATGCAGTAGTTCACATGCTGTTTTGAGACATTACTCTGCAGGGTGATATTCCGTTGCCATCTCTACAGAACCTGGCTTTTTAATATTACCATCGGATACACATAATATCAATTGACACCGCCATCTCTTCCCTTAATTTCTATATTTGTTCTATACACACTTTGCATTCTACCTGCTACCTGTGTGGTGTATTCATCCAGCGGATGGCCCTCATTTTCAGAGGTCTTGCTGTCTTAGCTGTTCAGCCTTGTGACAGTAAAAACACACTCCCTAGGGGGCTATGAGTCTGAGATGGACTTACAAAATTGCCTAAAAATAATTCTACAATATGACAAAAGATCCGTAAAACTGAGATACAAACTTTTAAAATATTTTCAACACTAATATGAGTATATCTCCTCGCTGCAGTGTTACTCGGCTCTCATATAGTTAGTTATCTATAAATTATATTGAAAATGTGACTTGGGTTTACATTTTAATCCATTCGATAAGATGTAGTGTGACGCTCCCCAAAGCGCAGTTACCGAGCACAGCGCTGAGGAAGGTGTAAAAATGGCTGTGCTCTCAGTGACCTAGACGTGGCGTCAGCAGGAAGCTGAGGCCCAGAGAGAGAGCGAGTGAGTAGGTGTGCATCGGAGGGATCTGGGGGTGTGGGAGGGCCAGGGGACCATGAGTTACTGATGGGGAGCAGGAAGGTGGGGGACCCTACAATGGGAATCCTGGCGTTGCTTCTTGATTTCTACCTTGGGTGAATGATAGCATGACACTCTTTGGTGAATTAGATTAAGGAACAGCAAAGCAACAAAGTCTAAGATGTAGTTTAGCATTTCACAATGCCACATTTCAAGTAAACGTGGCCTTTTCCTTTCCGAATGAATGAAAACGCATTAATTAAACACACACACACATTCACATACATGCTCACACCTGCTCTTCCGCCATCACCTGTTTCCTGCACCGTGTTAAATATCTATTCCAGTTGAAATGGTGCCTAAACACTCCAATATGCCTCTTTTCAGGCAAAAAGGAAAAACAGTTGCTATGACTATGTTTGGACATATTTTAAATACATGTATAGTCATTGCCAGTTTATCTGTTTTACAGATACTATTTTCCTACATAGTATTTAGTATCTCCCTTTATTGAAAATGTCATTGCTGAGTTTTCTAATTAATGGTTTTCATCCTTATTATATGTCTGAATGTTAGAATTATTGATTAAGCTGTTTATTAATGGAATGATTTTTAGCACAAAGTTTAATATTCTTCTTCTCTACCATCATTATGTGTTATTTAAAAGGTTTTTCATACATTCACTTTAAATTGGGTTTTCAGGCTTTTTAAGGTCAGTAGGATAGCCTCTAGAGAGAAAAGGGAATACTGAAGAACAATATAAATTAAATAAATTTAAGTAAATAAAGCATCAATCTAGCCATTAAGAAATACGTATGTTATTTACATAATAAATGATGGATATATTAATGAACAGTTTCAAAATGAGATAATGTACTGAACAGAATATCTTAAATTATGATTAAAAGATATAAAATCATTAATAAAATAAAATAAATTTTTATCAGGTGAAAAGATAAGTGGGTTTTTTTTTTTGTCTAGAAGACAAGTTATCTGGAAAACATTATGACATTTTGTAGATGATCAAAATCACTTTACTATCAATATCAAGCATCTTTACTACTAATTCTATTATCAGTATTAGAAATTATCATGTGACTATATTTTATTATCAGGAACATTCAAGAAACTAAAATGCTAAATACTAGTTTAATAAATAAAACACAACCTATCTGATAAAGAAGTTGCAATGAACTGAGAAATTAAAAGATCTCAAAATAGAGACTTTTCATTGACTGTAGTATAAACTACTTGAGTGTGAAAAGTTTCTGTTTTCCTAGTTTGTGCTCCAAATTTCAGAAAAGGGTTGCATGCACATTGCAGGGTACTAAGTAAATGTTTCGCAAATAAAAATTCTTGAATTCATTACCTTGTACCAATTAGGATTTCTTTTGTACTGGCATAATTAGGAGATTTTAATTTAAGCGTTATAAATGATTAATGTCTTTATCTAATTTCCATACTGTTTGTGTCAACTATACTTATTTGAGTGATCACTAGAAGACCACATACTTATCCTATCTTCCAGGCTTTCATTTTTACATATCACTTCATTCATTCACACCAACTTTTGACATTTTTCTAGTACAAGCAAAGACTATAAAAATATGTAGAACAAGCACTTGCCAAAGAGCTCTAAGTGAAACAGGCTTCAGATATGAAATTAGAGCCATGCTTGGATATACTTCCATCTAAGTGCTTCATCTGAAGGGAGCCCTTCAACCCTGCTGTGTGTATAAATCACCTAGGGTGACTTTTACATTTACCTATGGCTGGCCCCACTGTCATGTCTGATTTTGTCTGGACAATAGTAATTTTTTTATTGAGAATTTTATTTCATGGGTTGCAAAGGCAACACTCTAGTTGATGGCATATGCATATATGTGTGTGCATGTGCACATGCACACACACAATCCCCAGGGCTCTGAACAATTGTGGGACAGGCTCCATTATAACTATTGAGTTTACATGCATGGATCAACTTATTAAAGTGCAAGCAAGCAGAGAAAATAAAAGCAAGCCTCCTTCTCTCTCTCTCTCTCTCTCTCTCTCTCTCTCTCTCTCTCTCTCTCTCTCAAAAAAACATCTTCAAGAAATCTTTAGGTCATTAATATGAAACGGTGGAACACAAAAATCTTGGTGCTTAGTTTACTCCCGCGTCTGCGGCAATGTAAAGAACAAAAGTGAACCTGGAACTTCAATTAACAAATATTTTCAAACATGGCATTATTATTTGCCAACAAATCAAATTTCTGTTCTCTCCCCTCTTGCCTCATCTCCCCTTATGTCAACTCCAGCCCCCACCTGGTGGCCCTCGACGCTGTCTCGTCTACTCGAATGTGTTTCTGTCCTTATGGTCACACAGCAGTTCCATAGTGAAAGATCATAAATGCAGGGAGGGGTGCTTCAGGAAGTTAGGAAAATGCCCTTACACATTTTGAATGTAGAAATCGCATTTCAAAATGAGTTGCAAAGAGCAAAATTTTAAAAATTTAGCGATACTAAAGTTTACAGATAATGTTATCATCCCTCTTCAAGAAGAAAGAGGGGTGTACAGGGGGAACATTGTGGTGTTTGGGAAAATGGAGCTAAGTAGTTACTGCAATTTATTATATGCTGAGTTTAGGGGATTTAGAAGACAGGGGTTTGAGTGCCCTCATTATTACTTGTGGGCCATTTGATGTTGGAAAAAATATTTAATTTCCTTAGGCTTCAGTTTTCATGCCTCTCAAATGTGGGTTCCCAGAGTCAGGGAAATATTTCACATCTTTCCAAGGTCTAAAAGTCACTGAACTTACTGTCCATGTGCCCTTTACAAAGGCCACTTTTTCACAAAGGATGGCATTCTTCTGAAAGCCCTTAGAGAAAGGGAAAGCTATATATAGAAAGTCCATTCAGTGTCCAGGGGTGTTACCAAGCCTCGCTGCTATTTATAAATGGGTGTAGGCCAGTAGGACAAGCTTTTGCTTTAACTAATAACTGACCAGGTTTCTTGGGGCTAAAGACATGTTTTTCATTTTTCTAAGTGTTGATTAAATAATTGATGAAAACAGGAATTATTTTAATTTACTTACTGAATTGCCTGGTTGTTCTATGGCCTGATGCAATATGATTTTATAAGGTTACTTTTCTGTTTGGACATACGTATGGTCTCCACCCTGCTGTTTGGTCACAGACCGCTCACAGATAAACATGCGCAACTATTTTGCGTTCTTACTGTGAGTGATCCTTACAGTATTTTTTTTTTCCTTATGAATGTCATGCCAATCTACTCCAATTCCAATTCAGGCTGAAATTTATACATTTCTCTACGAACTTATTTTCATTCCTATGACTTTTGATGATTTTTTTTAACGTGGAGGACTTCACCAAATTTGTAGACATTTGATAGAGTAAAAAATTGAAAAAAACCCAAAACTATCATTAGAAAAAAAACCAATACCTCAAAACCTCAAATAGAAAAGAGCTAGGGTGCAAGTGAGTGAGTGTATGTGTGTGTGTGTGTGTGTGTGTGTGTGTGTGTATGTTGGTTTTGCAGAAGCTGCGTTATGTTAAATTTTACATTTCTCTTTAATAAAATAAATTTTATTCCCCTTGGGAATGCAGAAGACAGCAACAGCAGACTACAGAGCAACAGCTGCCGCCATCTTATGGTTGTACTCCCTACTTATGGAAAAGTATAAATAGCAATTTTAGCAGCTAGTGACTCTGAAGTTGCCCTTAACATTGTCATTATAAAAATGCTCTAAAAATTGTGTTTTGCAGATAATATGTCACAGAAGCTTATTAGGGGGATTTTTCTGTCCATATTGAAGTCATTCAATAGTATGTCTAATGTAGGTACTATGCCTAAATGTAATGAGATAATATGTAAATAGTTACAACTATTTAGATAAATTCTGTCAGTTATACCAGCAGTCTGAGATCCAGGCTTTCATACCTTGGCAAATATGGGGTCTCCGTTGGTTTTATAGTTATCCTTAGAATCAAGGGGACTCATCGATTCTTTCGACAGATTTGACTGCTTACATTCCATCTGTTACTTACGGTGCTGGCTCCCCAGAATACAGACGAGAACACACAAGGAAATACAAGTATGAATACCTTTTCTACCATATTAACTCTTTTTCATTCACTCATCTATCAGTCATCCAACACGTGTGTCTTCATATTGACTTCCAACTGGGGGGTCAAGTGCTGTGCTAACCATTAAGGATATAACTGCGAATGAGACGGACGGGTCCTGATTCTGATGTCACTAATGGCTTTAGTCTTGCCATATAATGGGACATTTTCATTATTCCCTTTGCCCTCAGTTTTTATCTCAAATTGCCAATGGAAATGAAATTGTTCGTTTGACATACGGGTACTTAGGTAAATAAAAACAGATCCCCTGTTGCCCAAGCCTCCTCCTCCCCACTTCTAACTTCCTATGTGCACTAACTTTGTGCCAAGACTGAAACTAGATGTGCCCCAACCAGAGCCAAGCCCATTTCCTCACACCCTTGCCTGGGCTGTTTCTCACTTAGAAGATGCCATCATGGTCATCAATTTCGGGAACGAACTAGAAGATCACAGCGACAAACTATGGAAATGATTTGTCTTAGGGGAAAATACCGCAAGAGTTAATCTGCTGGTCCACATGCCTAACCTCCTGGGATTAAACCACAGCTCCAAGATCACTACGTGTCCTTGGCTACTGCGAGCTATAAATAGAAAAATGAATCATACTGTTATTGTATTCGTTTTTCTCCAAGGCCCTTTCTGATAAACACCACAGCCTTCAAGGGAATTGCAAACGGCTTCTTTGTAGGGTAGGTTATAGATCCATCTTTTCCTAAGCAGGCATACTATATCCAGCAGCACACTTAATTTAAGGTGGTTGAATATATGAAATCAAGTTTTTGTACCTGAGTGGAAACCTTCTTGTCCTTAATTCATTGGCTGTACTGGATTTTTTTTTCCTTTGATCAGGTCTTCAGACTTCTACTAGAAATCACTGCTTTGGGGGAAACCAGTCCCAGAAACTCAGGAAACTGAAATGGAGACAGCAAGAGAAAGGGAAATTAAACATACAGATCTCAATGTTTCAAAGTCTTAAGTAAATGCCAAAGCAAACATTTTCTAAACAGTACGATAACTTAAGGGAACGCCACGGATTATAAGTTTGAATATTCACAAAGTGAACACATTATGACAAGAGTACAGTTTGGATTTTGGAACTTCCAGCCAAACAAAGACTTCAGAAAACGCCCGGTTATTCTTCGTTCATTAAGACACAAAGGGACGGCAAAAAAGTCAAGTTTTCTAAGTCTATTTCTTTAAAATTCACTTCCTTTGGTGAGTCTTCACGTCGTCGATTTTCAGGAAATGATTAATTTGACTCAACTTAATTATTCATAAAATGAACATAGGACCTTGCAGCGGGATATTTCTCAGAGAGCTCTAATGTACAATATCCATTGCCTACATGCATGATGAGCTTGTTTTCTTAAGCACTCTCACATTTAAAAGTGTGTGTGCATGTGTGTGTGTACGCGAGTGTATGTGCATGTGTGTGTGCATGCGCACGCATGTGTCTCCTTTTGTCATGGGGTGGTGGGGAGAAAATACATCAGTTGACTGCCAATCAGTGATGAGGAAAGAGAGATATCTGGGTAAAGGGAAAGTCTACAGCAAGTGAAGTAATAAAGTACTGTGGTTGTGTTTCCAAAGTAATATCAGTTTTCTGAGTAATTAAATCTTCTCAAACTATAGTCACACCTGTTCCAGACCATCAGCCCATAAATGCTACACTGTCACTAGTGGAAAACAAATGGCGCTATCTCTCCTTTCTTTTATCCATTATCTCCTTTCTCATATAAATTATTTTTCTCTTCAAGGTCATGCTCTCTCTTCCCTATATGTTTAAAAATATTAGGATCTCAGAGTGATACATAAGGTGTATGTCTTGGTACTTATACCGCTGATGGCTCTGTAAGGAGCACTGGATTGCTAGATGGTTATAAATTGTTTGGGATTATGTGCCTGTATTTAATAATGAATTTGTAACTTTTCTTTCCCTTTATTGATATTGATATTGAAGAAAAAAAGTAAGTAACTCTGAAAGGATTTGTAACTCTAATTCAATCGGCAATAATTCTTGGTATCGCCTTTTTGCAAAAACCCACTGAATAAACCAAAGCAAATTGTCTTTAAATGCTGAATTTCTTTTCAGAATTTAATCTTTTATATGACTAGTGTATACTGTGGGCATTATTCTACTTCGAGGGCAAGGATTATCATAAACATTGATTATAGGCAATGTCTAGAGTACAGTGAAATTTTAATGCAAGATGCTATAACAACTTTAGTTAATGCCTTTTATGTTATCAAAATGATGTTATTTCAGCCTTTACTGTCATACATTTCCTACCCACTTCCCCAAACCTTACAAGGAAATAATATTATCATTTCATTATGTTCATCAATTTCAATTGGAGTTTGTTGGCACTTGTGGTCGCCAGTGATACTGGCACATGTGTTACTTTTACAAATCCCTTCCATGACAAAATTTGTCATCACAGGGGAAATCGGACACAGTAGGGGCCTAAAAGCCATATGACATATAGCTTTGAAGCTAGATTACCAAGCATTTTACTTAGAGGCACCATAGAATGTAGGAAAGGCCATTTCTTACCATCTGACATTTTATCAGCCAACTCAGAAACATCCCATAAATTTAGACTATATGATGTTATTTCATGTGATTGTAGGTCAACATCCTATCTTTAATATGGCTAATCCCACATTATTTTTTTCTTGGTGCCAAATATGAAAGTCATCAGGGAATTTTGTCCTTAACTTTTAAAAATAACTAAAATAAGTTATTCAACACATTTTCCTTTGTGTTTTTAAAACACAGCCATTCTTCCAAGGCTGACCCTGGGCACACATGTCAGGTGGTCATTTTTTCTTATCTATTCCGCCGAGTCATATTTCTTTTACCTTCTCAAAAAGTAGCATTTAATCATTCATCCATGCACTCATTTATTAATTCACTTATTGAATACATTGTTATGGAACGACTACATAAGGCAAACAAAAAAGGCAGAAGACTAATCTGGGTTGTATTGGAAAGTAATGAACTGAGTTAAAATATTTCCCGATAATAGGTAGTACCCAATGTACTGGAAATTGTATTTCATTATTGGTACTCAGACTCAGGGAAAACTAAGACCTCAATAATAATAAGCCTTTCCCCTCTCTCCTCAAATTTCCCGCTAGCCTCTCTACTTCCCTTGCTCTCAGCTGATGAGTTGCCTCATATTTCATTAAGAAAATTGAAGTCAGTAAATAGCCTGCTGTCAATTCCATTAATTCATTAGCATTTGCACTGACCTCTGTATTCCCTTTTATTAGATGAGTTAAAGTTAAAAGGCCATTTGTGCTACCTATAGTGGGTATTCCATTCTTCCTTATCTTCTCAAGTACTTCACAGCACTGCGTTTTCTACAACCCATCCCCTCCGTATGAATTATTCCCATCAAAATTCGAAAGTGTTCTAGTAACTCCTAGTAATAGAACGTATTCTCGTAGCTGGTAACTCCTACTTGAAAGTATACATGCAACATGAAACCCTCCCTTGGTTCACACACATTCTTAACCACTTCGTGGCTGAGTTTTTCAAAATGACCTTCCTCTATTGTTTCCATTTCCTCATGTCCCACTCACTCTACACTTTACCTCCATCTGGCTTCTCTCACCCCAACCTCCTTGCCCACTGCCCTGAAAGTTTACTTCTGACAGTCACCAGTGGTCTCCGCATCAGCACAGGCAGTGCATGGTTTTTGTCCTCATGTTTCTAGGCTCTTCTTTAAAAGAGAAAACAGAAAACACACCAAAAACGATTTGTTTGTGCTTCTGTGCTTTTCCACCTTCACGATCTTCTATATCTTTACTGGCTCCCTTCCGTTTCTCTTCAGTAAAGCATACAACTCTATGAAGGATTATTCTCAACATTTCAGTGTTACAAATACTAATACTAGCAGCAGCAATCAACACTTCTGTAATGCTTACCATGTGCCAGACACTATTCTAGGACACTTTTATATGCGTATATGGAGTTTATCCTCCTCCTAAACCTTTGCAATAAGCCTTATGATTATTATTCCCATCGTAGAAATTACAAAACTGAGACACTGAGAGGTTAAGTGTAATTTACCCAAGGTCACACAATCATTAATTGCTGATGTCCCTGGCCGAGTTAATACTAGAAACTTAGAAGAGGCAAGTTAAAGAATGTCTTACAGATGAACCTTAAAGTGAGAACAATTTAATGAACGCCTTGTAAAGTACCAGAAAGCAATGGGACCTTTTTTATTGAATGGGAACTACTAAGTTGTGCATCAGTAACTAAATATAATTGATTCTTATCAAATGAAATTATTTCTTATTACATCACTCTGTTGTTTTGAAAGAGCAATAGTTTTGCTTTAGTGTTTTATATTTTTTCTTCATTCACATATTCACTTGCTTATTCAACACACATTTCCTGAGCAGCTTCCATGCACAGGTGTCTGTTGAAAACCTTGGAAGACCCAATGGTGAACAAGAAAGCACAACATCGTTACTCTTAAGCAAATACCCCAGAGGTGGGGGAGGGGCAGAGTAAAGATGTCAACACATTTCATGCAGTGACAGAAACACAGCTGGGTAAGGACAGAAGGGCACTGAGGAGCTGGTCTCTTTGGTCAATACAGTAGTGATGGCGTTTTAACTGAGACCTTAATGATCAGAGGGAAATTGGACGAGGAAGAAGGATCAGCAAATGCAGAACTATAACAGCAACAGTCCAAGCCTGTCGCATCTGAGGGCTTGAAAAAGGCGCCTGTACCCGGAACCGGATGAAGGTGGGGACGGATGTAGGACGCGGCCTGAGCACATGGGAAGCCTTGCTAGGTGGTTTATATTTAATCTCTTCACAATAGATGGCCTTTAAAGCTTAGAAGGAGGCCAATGATATGATCTGATTTGTGCTTTTTAAACGATTACCTTGGCTGTTGAGTTTCTTATAAAAACAAAATAGCTTTGCCGCCATGAAGGGTGGGTAATAAATTTTCAAAAGCCCAATGAACTCATGAATAGTTGCTGCGCTAATTATCATCATTAGTCTCAACTAGGCTGCATTAGTCTAAGCTTGGTGGCCCTAGGGTCCTGGGACACACTAGATTAGGAAAGCCCAACGATTTTCAAATTGTTGATTTGACAAATTCTCAAACTTATTGGGGTTCAGAAATATTATTACTGGGGGCTGGATGAAAGGGTTAGATTAAGAAAAGAGGGTACGGTAGGTAGTTGGTTTCTTGGGTCTGTTCTACCTTTCTGTGGGAGAGGTGATGGCTGGGGAGTGGCTACTCTCCTGTTGGACGCATTGCTTAAATTTCAGAACAACTTCAATCTGGTAAATATTTGCTGAAAAACTACGATATGTTAGGAACTGAGCTGAGGCTGGGAATACAAAGTAACTCATTAATAATAATCAACTATTACTTATAAGAGCCTGGCACTGCGCTAATGCTTAGCAGGCACCATCTCAGGTTACATTAATATACACATTAACGCCGCGGGCTGGGTAAGTTTATTATCCCATCTTCCAGATGAGAAATCTGATGCTTTTAAGGGGCTCAGGTGACTTCTCCAAGGTTACACAGCTAGTCAAGGATGTAGGCAGCATTTGGACTCAGGAGAGCTGCTGTCAGCACCAACTCTTTTAACCATTATGTTCCACTGTCTACAAGAACCCTATCTGTGAAGTTCAACAGCATATACCTATGCTTAAGGCCGCCTGGCACAAAATAACTACTTGAGAAGGCCTAGGTGTGTGTAAGACGCACGTGGAGTAGAGAGGATTGTGAGAGGGTCACCAAACCTGCTCTCTATCCTGCGGGGCAGCAGAAACGAGAAAGAATGAGCCTGGGGCAGTGGGGTCGGCCGCCAGCCTGCTGCTGCGGACAAAAAGCAATGGTCTTTTTTTCTTATAATTAAGAAGTTATGT